TTTTGATTCTGTATAATTTTCGTACATGCAGTGGAACTGTTCGCTATGCGAGTGTGCATGCACATATGGGAAGGACTGGGAGTAGGAAGAACGACTTGGGATCACTGGCTTATACTTTGGTATTCCTTATGCGGGGTAGTCTTCCTTGGCAAGGTTATCAGGTACTGATCAACTTTGTAGCTAGTAGCTAATGAAGAAGTGATCAATGCGATATATATATATATATATATATATATATATATATACATTTATTTATTTATTTTTCCTTCCTTCCTTCTCACTATTTTTCATTTGGACGTGCTCTATATATTTGATTTTGTAGGGCGACAACAAAGGTTTTCTGGTGTGGAAGAAGAAAATGGCAACTTCTCCCGAAATGCTGTGCTGTTTCTGCCCTGTTCCGTTTTTAAACAGACGTTTTGGAGATGGTCGCAAATATGAAGTTCGATGAAGAGCCAAACCACGGCAAGCTCGTTCTATTCTTCGATTCCATCTTGGATCCTAATCCTACTGTGAGACCCATAAACACAGACGGTGTTGAAAAGGTGCATTCTATGACCTTTTTTTGCTTCGTTTTTCTTGTCCCTACACTGAGGATTCTTTTTTTGAACCTACTCTTCATTTGATCATCATATTAATAAAGCCTTTTGTTTCTAGTGTTCCATACAGGTTGGTCAGAAGAGAGGGCGAATCAGATGTTGAAGAAGATGAGGATGACCAACCTAAGAAAAAGATCTGGTTAGGAATGCCCGCAACTCAATGGATTACAACATTTACAACGCTCGGTGGCCAAATGAAGCAGAGGTAAGGCGGTGCGAGCTTTTGTCATTGATGTGGTGTGATGTTGCTCAGTTAGGCATGAGTCCGGTCATGTGTGTATCGTCGATTTTGACTTTGTCCTCCTGGATGTCGATCAGCTATTCCGATTTCTATGACATGCGTTTACTTTCAGCAAGCAGCCTGGATTCGGACAGACCCATTTATTGAACTTTCATTCCTACATTTGTTTCGACGTGCAGGTATCACTACGATGCAGCTGATTCCCGGCTTACGGAGCACGTGGAAAAGGGTAATGAAGACAGTCTGTATATAAGCAGTGTGGCTTCTTGTACAAATCTATGGGCTCTTGTTATGGACACAAGGACAGGATTTACTGCTCAAGTTCATGAGCTGTCGCATCTATTCGCCGTCCTCGAATGCATGTGGGTTTATTTAGAAATATATTTTGTGCAAGATTTTGCCTGCGGTCTCTTGGAAGGTATTACAATTTTTTTTTTTTTTTTTTTTTTTTTTTTTGGGTTGTTGTTGTTATTGTTGTTGTTGTTGGGATTTTAGTGCTGATGGAGAATGTGGACTTTTAGTTCATTTCTAGGTTTTCAAGTTTTGTATGACACATTTGTTTTATATATTTTGTTGCTTTGTTCGGGCTGTTGGTCCATTTTGTGTATTTGGCTTTGTTTGTATTTTTTTGTTTTGTGTTGTATAGAATGTGTCGGTTATTTGTGAAAGGGTGCTGCTTCCCTTGGCTCACATGAAATGATGAAAGCTATTGCATTCTGAGGTATGCAGCAGCCAGTAATCTTGAATTGTGGCGTTGAGAATGAGTGGAGGCATGAAAGCAATTGTGAACTGAGCTTCACAATTTGCGAGTGTTGCAAAACCTCTAATCCCTAAAACCCTAAAACCCTAAACCAGGTTTACCTAGTCCAGTCAAAGATGAAGTTGTGATGTAAGGCGAGGTGAGCCAGACTCCAAGCTCGAACTCCAAGCATTGGAGGTGATCCTGTGCTGGATCAAAATTCGGCTGCCCTGTGTTGATCTGTTTTTTCTTTCGAAGTGAAGTTGAGGCATTCTTGGGGCGATTTGCATTGTTTTTGTTTTTTGTTTTTTATTATTTTTGTTTCTGTTTTATTTATTTATTTTTTGTGTGTGTGTGTGTGTGTGTTTTCTACGGTGAGTGATTGTGTTTCTTTGTTGTGTTTTAGGTTGAAATAGGAGCTTGAGACAGAGGGACGTTACATCGCTTCGCATGTTCCTTATTAGGTCAATTCTTGTCTACTCCACCACCTGCATAACATGTCAACCTGTGTCTAAAACTTTTCATGCTTCCATGTGTGTGTGTGTGAGTGTGTGTATGTATGGTTCCCAATTGGCGGAGGTCGACGGATTATATACTAGGCTCAATGAGATGACCAAGGTTGAACAGATGTCATACCATACGATTCTATGATTACACCCGATGTAATCTATTCTAATGTAGTCCGGCCAACATGAGAATCAAGTCCTCCCACTAGAACTCCAATTGATTTCCATAACTCGACTTTGTAGAAAACCATATCCCGGTGAAAAAGTTTCTAGTCTAATATCATGGAGATGGAAAATAATCATAAAATGGAAAGCATCCACCTGCATGCATGACATGCAACGAAGGAAGATGCTGCATGCTTCTCACACCGAACACAAGAAAGGATGACACAATTTGTAACCTTCGAAATGTGAGTCAAGAAAGCTGAGGGTCGGGGTCCTGTCGATGAGGTGCTTGGAGATAACGCATTGGGTGGGATGTATCAGAGGAGCTACAACTTGAGGGGCAGGAAGAGCGCGCAGTTGCACGCATTTAATAATTTCTTTTTGTGCCCGTCGAGCTTGCCGGTGTCGAGGGGTGAGTTCTCAGGGTTTTCGATTCTGGATAAGGAATCGTTGATTGAGGCGGGGAGCGGGAAGCGAGAAGTGGAGCGAGTGAAGCGGCCCTACGAGAGTTGAGCTTGAGGTCGGCGTCATCGCTGGAAGCCGGGGAATTGTCACTGGGGTCACCGACACTTTTTCATGCACTATTCAATAAGTTTCTGCCGTCGAACAACAAGGACGAGGAGGCATACCCGGTGGTGGACATATATGGGTCGACCAGTTGTGGATGTTTGAATTCAAGGTAAAGCGATGGACGAGGGGGAGGATCCATGATTGAACGGAGTGCCCGTTTGTCCACCCAGGCGACAAAGCTAAGTATTGCGATCCGCGGTAGTACCACTACTCGGGGACGGCATACTTGGACTTTTGAAAGGAAAGCTCTCGGAGAGGCGATGCATGCAAGTTCACGCAGAGAGTGTTCGAGTGTTGGCTGCATCCGGCTCGATACTAGATGCAATCGTGCAAAGATGCGCAAAATTATCGTCGTTTGGGTGTGTATTTTTTGCACACACGCTAAAGTAGCTCCGGTTGCTGCCTGCAACGGCACAAGCAGTGACGACGGGAGGTCGAAGCGGAGGAGGTTACGATGGGTCGCCGCGAGCTAAAGCAGCGGCATGCTATGATGGGGCGTTTGGATATGAGAGCTTGTCTTACGACGTAGCATCGACAGATCACGATCCGAGCCACTTGTCGAGGTACTCGAGCTCGGCCAACTCGGGTGCAGGATATGTGACATCGCAGAATTCATCGCCCAGGTCGACGGTAGTCAAGTACAAGCAATACGCTGTGTTGTTGAGCCCTCCGTTGTCTCCGTCGAAGTCGCCTCCGCCATCGCCTGGGTCGGTTGAGGAATGGGGGCAAATGCGGGGTCATTTGCAAGCAAGTCGATGTCATGAGGGTAACGTGGGATGTTGCAAGCGACGCTACAGCAAGCGGCGCAAGCTCAGGGGCTAGGGGACAAAGCAGATGTCGGCGGTGTCGGCACATCGGCAACATTTGGAACATTTGAACTTGATGCCAACACTGATAATACTCAAAGCAGGTTCAATTGGAATTGGCTGCCGAGAGCAGGTCCAGTTGGAATTGGCTGCCAAGAGCAGGTTCAATTGGAATCGGTTGCCAAGAGCAGGTCCAGTTGGAATTGGCTGCCAAGAGCAGGTTCAATTGTAATCGGCTGCCGAGAGCAGGTCTAATCGGAATTGTCTGCCAAGAGCAAAGTCAATTGGAATCGGGTGCCGAGAGTAGGTCTTGTTGGAATCGGCTGCCAAGAGCAGGTCAAGTTGGAATTGGCTGCCAAGAGCAGGTTCAATTGGAATCGGCTGCCAAGAGCAGGTCTAGTTGGAATTGGCTGCCAAGAGCAGGTTCAATTGGAATCGGCTCCCAAGCGCAAGTTCAGTTGGAATTGGCTGCCAAGAACAGGTTCAATTGGAATCGGCTGCCAAGAGCAGGTTCAGTTGGAATCGGCTGGCAAGAGCAGGTCTAGTTGGAATTGTCTGCCAAGAGCAAGTTCAATTGGAATCGGGTGCCGAGAGTAGGTTTTGTAGGAATTGGCTGCCAAGAGCAGGTTCAATTGGAATCGGCTGCCAAGAGCAGGTCCAGTTGGAATTGGCTGCCAAGAGCAGGTTCAATTGGAATCGGCTACCAAGAGCAGGTCCAGTTGGAATTGGCTTCTATGAGCAGGTTCAATTGGAATCGGCTGCCAAGAGCAGGTCCAGTTGGAATTGGCTGCCAAGAGTGGGTTCAATTGGAATCGGCTGCCAAGAGCAGGTCCAGTTGGAATTAGCTTCCATGAGCAGGTTCAATTGGAATCGGCTGCCAAGAGCAGGTCCAGTTGGAATTGGCTTCAAAGAGCAGGTTCAATTGGAATCGGCTGCCAACAGCTCAATGCATGTCTGCCAATTAGAATTGCATGGCCGGCAATTGGAATTGGCCGCCTTTTCTTGCTACCATTGCTCCTTTCTAGGGCCTGGCACGAAGTAACTTTAGGAGGTTGGCAAGCATAAAGGAATCGGCCAACGTAACGACAGGGATGGTGGCTGGCGTTGATGGCAATGAACACGACGGCATGAGACGAGGAATGAATGCAGCGTATGGCTATTGGCACTGCAATGCCCAATTGGGTGTGAATTGCGGAGCAGGGTGGAGGGACGGGTGGGGGATTGGGAAATGTCTATCGGAGCGTGAGTCCTTCGTATTTGCTCCACATTTTCTCAGACCGGGTCCTGACGCCTCCTTATCACACGTTTTATAATATGCATTTCAATGTTGGAAGCACAGGTGCTGGTCGTACCCTAAACGCTTGCGCAATGCGGTTAAGCTTCAACAACAACAACAACATTAAGATCGAAGACGCAGATTACTACGAAGTCTGCAAGCCATCCACTCATAACCATATCAGCTGCACAAAGCTCCTAAACCTTGGTCGCAAATGGTGATGTCCAAAGCTGATGATCTCACAATAGATGAATACCTTGGTTTAGGATACACAATTTATAGTCTTAGTCTTCGAAATGAAAGCTTCCAGTGGCAATTTATAGGTCCAAAGTATACCCTACAAACAAGAGATGATCTGGATTTTTATTCCTAAACCTAAGTACCCTACAGTTAGTCGGAGAGGAAGATGAAATACGTAGAAATATATATGAGGTCATATGGCTAAAATCAGGTTTAATGAAGGAGCTTGGAACTGTAGTGTCAAAAGCAAAAGACACAAGTGAAGTCTGAGAGAAGTGGTCGACCATGCGTGTGACACCCAGTTGAGAGCAGTCCTCCTTTTCTGCAGTTCATCTCGCTCGTCGTTGTCACGGTGGAGGTTCAAGTCATGACAAGGGATGGCTGCTGCAAAGCGTTTGTCTTGGGTCGTCGAAACTGGCCACAGGAGTAGTCGTAGACTGAGTAAAGCCGGCCGTTTCGACAGTTGTGAACAGGAGGGGAATGAGGTGAATACAGTTGTGAAACACAACTCCCTCGCCATATCACCCTTGTGTAGCAATAATCCACTTGCTGGATGCCATTTGCACTTCCAATATCAAGAGTGAAAACTCTTAGAGATACACTTTAGTTCCAGCTGCAGAAGAACAATACCAGTTGAATAATGCCACCACTACACCTCCATTTAAAAAAGTACGATTTCCGCGCAAAGAATCTATGTGTGTTGATTGAGAGAGAGTTTCCACCTTGGGTGCCATGAGTCATAATCAAGAGGCGACCTCTTCGTCTTCCTTCACCCAAACCAACACCCTCATCTACTACCGTTTCCATAAGGACCCGAACCATTATAAGTAGATAGTTGACAATTATCTCAACTCAAACATGAGGCAAAACACAAAACTGTGAGCCGAACACACGAGCAGGTAACCATGCTGTGGAAATTATGAATTCATAGATGCGGGTTCATAGAAGTGAATATCACCTGCGAGGTCC